AAAGATATAAACTTCATAAGGCCTAGTATAATCAAAGAAGTCTGCATGAAAGAAATGTACATTGAAAGGCAAACAGATTTCTATTTTTGTTGTTTAACTCCATTTGGCCAGGTTTTCTTGCTGCCACAAGCCAATTTATGCAAAATTACGACCTTTAGATTGGTGGCCAACAAAAGCCAAAGTGGTTGGCACCAGATGGATCACTTGACCTATCTGCTACTGTGTGAGCCTTTTTACGTAGTTTTTATATTCTTGTAATTGGAATAATGATACTAGGTCACCTTATTTGTCTGAGTTTCAAAGGGATGAGAAATGCCTTGTCATTTACAACTGAAAAACAAAATTCAACTGGTCATCTGTTATCTCTTTTTGTGATGCTTATCAGGGTTCAGATTTTAGTACCAAGGAGTGTTAAAGCCAGTTTAACATTTTAAGTTATTTGCAATCAGATAGTAAAGAGAGCTCACTAAAATACCAATTAGGCTAAAAGCAAGAGGTGAAGAAATAGTCATCTATTGCCTGAGAGCACAGGGGGAGGGACAGTGATCTGGATATAAACCCAGGCATTTCAGCAGGCAGTGGCAACCCCCTTTGGGTCCCCTCCCGTTGTATGGGAGCTCTGTTTTCACTCTATTCAATGTTACAACTGCATACTCTTCTGGTCCGTGTTTGTTCTGGCTCGAGCTGAGCTTCTGCTTGCCGTCCATCACTGCTGATCGCCACCGTCACAGACCCGCCACTGACTTCCACCCCTCCGGATCTGGCAGGGCATCTGCTGTGCTTCTGATCCAGTGAGGTGCCCATTGCCACTCCTGATCAGGCTAGAGGCTTGCCATTGTTTCTGCGCGGCTAAGTGCGTTCATCCTAATTGAGCTGAACACTAGTTGCTGCGCTTCACGGTTCTCTTCCATGACCCACGGCTTCTAATAGAGCTATAACACTCACCTTATGGCCCGAGGTTCCATTCTTTGGAATCTGTGAGGCCAAGAACACCAGGTCAGAGAACAAAAGGCTTGCCCCCTTCTTGGGAGCAGCCCGCCACCATCTTGGGAGCAGCCCGCCACCACCATCTCAGGAGCTCTAAGAACAAAGACCCACTGGTAACACCATTAACACATATACTAGCCTTGTATTCATGGCATAAATAGCAACAGTCATAGTTGATAGGTTTTTATTATGATAAAAAATAGATAACATGAGATAAATTCTCCTAACAAATTTTTAAGTGTGTGACACAGTATTGTTGAGTATAAGCTCAATGTTATACAGCAGATATCTAGAACTTTTTCATCTTGCATAACTGAGATTTTTTTACCCATTGAAAAACATTCCACTTCTGCCTGCCACCAGCCTCTGGCAACCAGCATTCTACTTTTTGCTTCTATGAGTATGACTATTTTAGAAAGTTCATATGAATGGAATCATGCAGCATTTGTCCTTCTGTGATCGGCTTATTTCATTTCACACAATGACCTTAAGTTTCATTCACCTTGTCTCAAATGGCAGGATTTCTTTTCTTCTTAAGGCTGAATAATATTCAAATGTGTATTTATGTGTGTCTCTCTATATAGCTCTCATATACTTTATGCTAATGAAGAACACACGTGTTTTACATATCTTGGCTATTTTAAGTAATGCTGCCTTGACCATGAGAGTTCAGATATCTCTTCTATATATAATTTCATTTCTTTTTGACATATACCCAGAAGCGGGAGTGCTGGATCATATAGTAGTTCTATTTTTAATTTTGTGAGCAACATCCATACTGTTTTCCACAGTGGCTGCACCATTTTAAATTCCCACCAGCAGTGCACAAGGGTTCCCTTTTCTGCACAACCTAACAGTTGTTATCTTCTATCTTTTTGATGATAGCCATCTTAATAGGCAGAAGAAGATACCTCATGGTCATTTTAATTTGCATTACCCTTATGATTAATGATGTTGGGCATCTTTTCATACAGCTGTTGGCCATTTGTATGTCTTTGAAAAAATGTCTATTCAGGTTCTTTATCCATTTTTTGAATTGGGTTATTAGTTTGGTTGCCATTAAATTGAGTTTCCTTATGTATATTAGATAGTAACCCCTTACCAGGTATATGATTTGCAAGTTTTTTTCTCATTCTGTTATTTCATTGATTATTTTCATGCTGTGCAGAAACTTTTTAGTTTGATGTGGTCCCACTTGTTTATTTTTGCTTTTGTTACCTATACTTTTGGTGTCCTATCCAAAAAAATCATTGTAAAGACCAATGTCAAGAAGCTTTCCCCGCTCCATGTTTTCTTGTAGGATTTTTACAGTTTCAGGTTTTATGTTTAAGTCTTGAATTGATTTCGAGTTTATGTATAGTTTAAGGTAAGGTCCAATTCCATTCTTTTGTATGTGGTATCCCATTTTCCTACCACCATTTATTGAAGAGACTATCCTTTCCCCATATGTGGCGACTTGGTGAAAGAATAGTTGGCTGCGTATGCATGCGTTTATTTCTGAGCTCTATATTCTATTCCATTAGTCTGTGTACTTGGTTTTATGTCACGACTATGTTGTTTGATTACTATTACTTTGTAATACCATTTGAAATCAGAAACTGATTACTCCAACTTAATTTCTCTTGCAGGAGATTGCTTTAAATAATCAGAGTCTTTTGTGTGGTTCCAAATGATTTTTTTTTTTTTTTTTTTAAGAGTCTTGCCCTGTTGCCCAGGCTGGTGTGATCTCGGCTCACTGCAACCTCTGCCTTCCAGGTTCAGGCGATTCTCCTGCCTCAGCCTCCCAAATAGCTGGGATTACAGGCATGTGCCACCACACCCGGCTAATTTTTTGTATCTTTGGTAGAGAGAGGGTTTCACCATGTTGGCCAGGCTGGTCGTGAACTCCTGACCTTGTGATTCACCCACCTCGGCCTCCCAAAGTGATGGGATTACAGGCATGAGCCACCATGCCCAGCCGATTCCAAGTGAATTTTAGGATTGCTTTCTCTTTCTCTGAGAAAAATACCATTGGAATATTGATAGACACTTTACTGAATTTGTAGATTGCTTTGGGTAGTATAGACATTTTAACAATATTAATATATTAATTCTTCCCAACCATGAGCAAGGGATATCTTTTATTTATTTATTTGTGTGCTCAATTTATTTCATTGATGTTAATAGATTTAAATGTCTAGATCTTTTACATATCTATATTTATATCTATATCTATATCTATATCTATATATCTGACCACAATGGAATAAAACTAGAAATCAACAATTAGAGGAATTCTGGAAACTATACAAATATATGGGAATTCAGCTGGGCACAGTGGCTCAAACCCGTAATCCCAGTACTTTGGGAGGCCGAGGCAGATGGATCACTTGAGGTCAGGAGTTCGAGACCAGCCTGGCCAACGTGGTGAAACCCCATCTCTACTAAAAATACAAAAATTAACCAGGCGTGGTGGCTCATGCCTGTAGTTCCAGATACACAAGAGGCTGAGGCAGGGTAATTGTTTGAACCTGGGAGGTGGAGGTTGCATTGAACTTAGATCGTGCCACTGCATTCCCGCCTGGGTGACAGTGTCAGACTGTGTCTCAAAAACAAAACAAAACACAAATATATGGGAATTAAACATTGTGATCTGAATGACCAGTCAGTCAGTGAAGAAAATAAGAAAATTGAAAAATTTTAGCAAGGTCTCACAATACAAAATCAATGTGCAAAATTTACTAGCATTCCTATAAAACAACTACAGTCAAGCCGAGAGTCAAATTAGGAATGCAATCCCATTCACAATTGCTATTAAAAAATACCTAGGAATACAGCCAATCATATAAATGAAAGCTCTCTACAAGGTGAACTACAAAACAGTGCTCAAAGAAGTCAGAGATGACACAAACAAATGGATAAACATTTCGTGCTAATAGATAGGAAGAATCGATATTGTTAAAATGACCATAGTGCCAAAATAATATAGAATAAATGCTATTCCTATTAAACTATCATTGACATTCTTTACAGAATGAGAAAAAACTGTTTCAAAATTCATATGGAACCAAAAAGGAGTGCAAATAGCCAAAGCAATCCTAAGCAAAAAGAACAAAGCTTGAAGACATGCTACTTGACTTCAAATTATACTATAGGCATACGGTAACCAAATCAGCATGGTACTATTACAGGAACAGACACATAGATCATGGTACAGAATAGAGAGCTCAGAAATAAGACCACACCTGCAATTATCTGATCTTTGACAAACCTAACAAAAACAAGCAGTGGGGAAAGTAATCCTTATTTAATAAATGGTGCTGGGATAACTGGCTAGCCATATGCAGAAGATTTAAACTTGACCCCTTACACCATATGCAAAAATTAACTCAAGATAGATTAAAGACTTAAATGTAAAATCAAAGCTATAAAAACCCTGGAAGACAGTCTATGCAATACCATTCTGCATATAGATATGGGCAAATATTTCAAAACGAAGACATCAAGAGTAATTGCAACAAAATCAAAAATGGACAAATGGGATCCTATTAAACTAAAGACCTTCTGCACAGAAAAAGAAACTATCAAGAGAAAGAGCATACAACCTATAGAATTATAGAAAATTTTTCATACTATGCATCTGACAAAAGTCTATGAAGAACTTAAATTTATTAAACAATTAAAAAGTGGGCAAATGACATGAACAAATACTTTTCAAAATAAGACATACATGCAACCAATGATAATATGAAAAACAGTTCAACATCACAGATTATTAGAGAAATGCAAATCAAAACCACAATGAGATAACATGTCACAACCGTCAGAATGGCTATTATTATTTTTTATTATTATTTCAATAGTTCTTCGGGAAAAGGTAGTATTTGGTTACAGAGATAAGTTCTTTAGTGCTAATTTCTGAGATTTTGATGCACCCACCATCTGAACAGTGTACACTGTACTCAATGGGTAGTCTTTAATCCTTCACCTTCCTTCTACCCTTCCCGACTGAGTCCCCAAAGTTTATTGTATCATTTTTTTTTTTTTGAGGGCCCAGAGAGCAAGTTTATTTGGTGAATGCTGACGGCAAACATCATCCAAGAGAGACAAGATGGGAAAAGTGCTGAGAAAAGAAAGCCTAGGGAAACTTCAGGATAGATACAAAATTCACACAGGGAAAGGCACGGAGTCAGGAGACTGGGAGGGTCCTCAGCCATTCAGCACCATGCGGACGAGCTCTTCATAGTTGATACAACCATTGCTGTCCTCGTGCCCTGCCACCAGCATCTCTACTTCTTCCTCTGTCATCTTCTCACCCAGTGTGACAAGAACATGCCGGATTTCAGCACCCATGATGGTGCCATTTCCTTCCTTGTCAAACACCCAAAGTCCTTCGACATAATCCTCATAGGTGCCCTGGTCCTTGTTCTTGGCCACCGTCTGCAGCATGGGCAGAAAGTGCTCAAAGTCCAGCACCTTCACATTCATCTTATCACTCTTGGGGTTCCCCAGGACCTTGAGCACCTCGGCGTTGGTAGGGTTCTGGCCCAGGGCCCTCATCACGTCCCCACACTGGCTGTACAGGATCTTGCCATCACCTGTTCGGTCAAACAGCTGGAAGGCCTCCTTGAACTCTGCAGTCTGGTCTTCGGTGAAGTCACACATCTTGACTGCTCAGCTCTGCGGGACCTTTTCCTGCAGTAATGACCTATTGTATCATTCTTATGCCTTTGTGTCCTCATAGCTTAACTCCCACTTATAAGTAACATACCATGTTTGATTTTCCATTCCTGAGTTATTTCATTTCGAATAATAGTCTCCAACTCCATCCAGTTTGCTGAAATTGCTATTATTTTGTTCCTTTTAATGGCTGGGTAGTATTCTATGTTGTATATATACACATCACATTTTCTTTATTTACTTGTTGATCAGTGAGCATTTGGGCTGGTTCTGTATTTTTGGAATCGTGAATTGTGCTGCCGTAAATGTGTGTGTGCAAGTATCTTTTTCATATAATGACTTATTCTCCTCTGGGTGGATACCCAGTAGTAGGATTGCTGGATCAAATGGTAGATCTACTTTTAATACTTCAAGGAATCTCCATACTGTTTTCCATAGTGGTTGTATTAGTTTACATTCCCATCAGCAGTGTAAAAGTATTCCCTTTTCACCACATCCATGCCAATATCTATTATTTTTTGATTTTTTAATTATGGCCATTCTTGCAAGAGTAAGGTTGTATCACATTGTGGTTTTGATTTGCATTTCTCTAATAGTGATGTTGAGCATTTTTTCATACGCGTATTGGCCACTTACATATATATTTTGAGAATTGTCTATTCATGTCCTTAGCCTACTTTTTGATGTGATTATTATTTTTTTCTTGCTGATTTGAGATCCTTGTAGATTCTGGATATTAGTCCTTTGTCAGATATATATATATATATATAGTGAAGATTTTCTTCCACTCTCTGGGTTATCAATTTACTCTGTTGATTATTTCTTTTGCTCTGCAGAAGTTTTTTGGTTAAGTCCCATCTATTTATCTTTGTTTTTGTTGCATTTGCTTTTGGGTTCATGGTCATGAACTCTCTGCCTAATCCAATGTCTAGAAGAGTTTTTCTGAGATTATCTTCTAGAATTTTTATGGTTTCAGGTCTTAGAGTTGAGTCTTTGATCCACATTTTGTTGATTTTTGTATAAGGTGAGAGATCCAGTTTCATTCTTCTACATGTGGCTTGCTAATTATCCCAGCATCATTTTTTGAGTAGGGTGTCCTTTCCCCACATTATGTTTTTGTTTGCTCTGTCAAAGATGAGTTGGCTGTAAGTATTTGGCTTTATTTCTGTGTTCTCTATTCTGTTCCATTGGACTACATGCCTATTTTTATGCCACTACCATGCTGTTATAGTAATTTTATCCTTATACTTTAAAATCAGGTAATGTGATGCCTCCAGATTTGTTCTTATTGCTTAGTCCTGTTTTGGCTATGTGGGGTCTTTGTAGTTTCCTTCTGCATTTTAGGATTTTTTTTTCTAGTTCTATGGAGAATGATGATAGTATTTTGATGGGAATTGCATTGAATTTGTAGTTTGCTTTTGGCAGTATGGTCATTTTCACAACATTGATTCTACCCATCCATGAACATGAAGTGTGTTCCCATTTGTTTGTGTCATCTATGATTTCTTTCAACTGTGTTTTGTAGGTTGTTTTGGTAGAGATCTTTTTGGTTAGGTGTATTCCTAAGCATTTTTTTTTTTTTTGCAAGTATTGTGAGAGACGTTGAGTTTTGATTTGATTCTCAACTTGGTCACAGTTTGTGTATAGCAGTGCTACTGATTTGTGTACATTGATTTTGTATTCTGAAACTTTACTGAATTCATTTATCAGATCTAGAAGATTTTTAGATGAGTCTTCAGGGTTTTCTAAGTATACGATCATATCATTGGTGAACAGGGACAGTTTGACTTTCTCCTTTTCAGTTTGGATGCCCTTTATTTTTTTGTCTTGTCCGACTTCTCTGGTTAGGACTTCAGTACTCTGTTGAATAGAAGTGGTGAAACTGGGCACCCCAGTCTTGCTCCAGTTCTCAGGGGGAATGCTTTCAGCTTTTTCCTGTTCAGTATAATGTTGTCTGTGTGTTTGTCATAAATGGCTTTTATTACTTTAAGGTATTTTGCTGAGGGCTTTAATCATAAAGCGATGCTGGATTTTGTCAGATGCTTTTTCTGTGTCTTTTGAGATGACCGTATGATTTTTGTTTTAAATTCTGTTTATGTGGTGTATCACATTTATTGACTTCTTTATGTTAAACAATCCCTGAATCATTGGTATGAAACCCACTTGATCATGGTGGATTGTCTTTTTGATATGCTGTTGGATTCGGTTAGCTAGTATTTAGTAGATGATTTTTGCATTTATGTTAATCCGAGATATTGGTCTGTAGTTTATTGTTGTTGTTGTTGTTGTTGTTATGTCTTATTCTGGCTCGGGTTTTTGGGTAATACTGACTTCATAGAATGGTTTAGGGAGGATTCTCTTTTGCTCTACCTTTTGGCATAGTTTCAGTAGGATTTTTACCAATTCTTCTTTGAATGTCTGGTAGAATTCAGCTGTGAATGCATCTAGTCCTGGAATTTATTTTCTTAGCAGTTTTTTTAAATTTCCATTTCGACCTCACTGCTTGTTATTGGTCTTTTCAGGGTTTCTAGTTCTTCCTGGTTTAATCTAGGAGGGTTGTGTGTTTCCACGAATTTATTCATTTCCTGTAGGTTTTCTAGTTTGTATGCATAATGGTGTTCATAGTAGCCTTGAATGATCTTTTGTATTTCTGTCGTATCAGTTATAATATATCCAGTTTCTATACTAATTGAGCTTATTTGGATCTTCTCTCTTCTTTTCATGGTTAATCTCACTAGTAGTCTATCCATTCTGTTTATTGTTTCAAAGAACCAGCTTTTTGTTTCATTTATCTTTTGTGTTTTTTGTTTCAATTTCATTTAGTGTTCTGTTCTGATCTTTGTTATTTCTTTTCTTTTCCTGGGTGTGGGTTTGGATTGTTCCTATTTCTCTAGTTCCTTGAGGTGTGACCTTAGATTGTCTATTTGTGCTCTTTCAGACTTTCTGATGGAGGCATCTAAGGCTATGAACTTTCCTCTTAGCATTGCTTTTGCTTTATCCCAGAGGTGCTGGGAACAAGCCCTAAGCCTGTCATAAACAGGCCTTAAAGAAACTGGCCATAAACAGGATTTATGCAGCAATGTGACATGCTCGTGATGGCTATCACACACACTGCTAGAAGTTGTTGGTTTACCAGAGCAGGGCAAGGAACACCTGGCCCTCCTGGAGCGGAAAACTGCTGTGCCTTAACAACATGTCTTTGCTGCAGATAATCAGCCAGAGCCTGTTTCTCTACTCCTTGCTAAAAATGCTTTGTTTCTGGTAAGGAATGCTTTTAGTTAATCTATAATTTATAGAAGCAATGCATATCACTGGCTTACTGTCAATAAATATATGGGTCAAACTCTGTTCGTAGCTCTCAGCTCTGAAGGCTATCAGCCCCCTGCTTCCTACTTTGCACTCTATTTCTGTGTCTTTGTCTTCAATTCTTCTAGCACCGTTGGGTTGGGGTTTCCATGACCTTGCTGGTCTCAGTACAGAGGTTTTGATAAGTTGTGTCACTATTATTGTTCAGTCCAAAGAATCTTTAAATTTCCATCTTGATTTCACTGTTGACCCAATGATCGTTCAAGAACAGATTATTTAATTTCCGTGTATTTACGTGGTTTCTTTTAGAGTTGATACCCAATTTTATTCCACTGTGGTCTGAGAGAGTACTTGATATAAGTTTGATTTTCCTAAACTTATTGATACTTGTTTTGTCGCCTATCATATGGTCTGCTTTGGAGAATGTTCCATGTGTTATTGAATAGAATGTATATTCTTCTGTTATTGGGTGGAATGTTCTATAAATATCTGTTGGGTCCATTTGTTCCAGGGTATAGGTTAAGTACACTTTTTGTTGTTGTTGTTGACTCTCTGTCTTGATGACCTGTATAGTGCTGTTGGTGGAGTATTGAATTCCCTCACTATTATTGTTTTGCCATCTCTCTCATTTCTTAGGTCTAGTAGTAATTGTTTTAAAAATTTGGGAGCACCAGTGTCAGGTGGATATATATTTAGGATTGTGTTATTTTCCTATTGGACTAGTACTTTTATCCTTATATAATGTTCTGCTTTGCCTTTTTTAACTGTTTTTTCTTTAAAGTCTGTTTTGTCTGATATAAGAATAGTTACTTCTGCTCACTTTTGGTGTCCATTTGCAAGGAACATCTTTTTCCACCCCTTTACCTTAAGCTTATGTGAATCCTTATGTGTTAGGTGAGTCTCTTGAAGATGGTATATATTTGGATGATGACTTCTTATCCAGAATCACTATTACTAAAAGTTTAAAAAATAATAGATGCTGGTGAGGTTGCAGAGAAAAAGGAATGCTTATACACTGTTTGTGGGACTGTAAATTCATTCAACCATTGTGGAAGACAGTGTGGAAATTTCACAATGACCTAAAAACAAAAATGCCATTTGACCCATCAATCCCATTAGTGGATACATATTCAAAGGAATATAAATTGTTCTATTAAAAAGACACACGTATGCTTATGTTCTTTGCAGCACTATTCACAGTAGCAGAGACATGGAATCAACCTAAATGCCCATGAACAGTAGGTTGGATTTTTAAAAAGTGGTAAATATATACCATGGAACACTATGCAGCCATGAAAAACAAAATGGTCATGTCCATTGCAGGGACATGGGTGGATCTGGAGGCTATCATTCTTAGCAAACTAACACGGGACTCTAAAATCAAATAGTACATGTTCTCACTTATAAGAGGAGCTAAATGATGAGAACATATTGACACATGTAAGGGAACAACACACACTGGGGCCTATCAGAGGGTGGAGGGTGGGAGGAGGGAAAGGATAAAGAAAAATAACTAATAGGTACTAGACTCAATACATGTATGACAAAATAATCTGTACAACAAACACTCATGACACAAGATTACCTACGCAACAAACCTGCACATGTACCCCTGAACTTAAAATTTAAAAAAACTTAAAAAATACAGGCCAGTATCAATGATGAATATTGATGCAAAAATCCTCAACAAGACACTAGCAAACCAAATTTACCAATAC